ACTGCACCGCGACATCTCCCAGTACAATCAGTTGGAGACTCAGGAGGAGGCACAGGAGGAGACAGGGTGGAAGCTGGTTCATGGTGATGTGTTCCGCCCACCCAACTATGCCGGCCTGCTCTGCGTGTATGTCGGCACCGGTGTGCAGCTGTTCTTCATGACGCTTGTCACGATGGTGTTTGCGCTTCTTGGGTTCCTCTCCCCATCCAACCGCGGCGGGCTTATGACTGCCATGCTTCTGCTCTGGGTCTTCATGGGTCTCTTGGCTGGATACTCGTCCGCCCGCCTGTACAAGGCCTTTAAGGGCACTGACTGGAAGCTGAACACCATCCGCACTGCAGTCACCTACCCTCTTGTCGTCTTCATTATCTTCTTCATCCTCAACATTCTGATCTGGAAGGAGAAATCCTCTGGAGCCGTTCCCTTCGGCACCATGTTCGCGCTCTTCTTCCTCTGGTTTGGCATCTCCGTTCCTCTAGTCCTTCTGGGAAGCTACTTTGGCTTCAAGAAGCCTGCTATTGAGGATCCCGTCCGCACGAACAAGATCCCGCGACAGATCCCCGAGCAGGCATGGTACATGCACCCGGTGTTCTCCATCCTCATTGGAGGCATTCTGCCCTTTGGTGCCGTGTTCATCGAGCTCTTCTTCATCCTTACCTCCATGTGGCTGCAGCAGTTCTACTACATCTTTGGCTTCCTCTTCATTGTCTTTGTCATCCTCATTATCACATGCGCGGAGATCACCATTGTGCTCTGCTACTTCCAGCTCTGCAGTGAGGACTACCGCTGGTGGTGGAGAGCGTATCTGACTTCGGGCTCGTCGGCTCTTTACCTCTTCCTCTATGCCACTTTCTACTTCTTCACCAAGCTGGAGATTACCAAGCTCGTGTCAGCTATCCTTTACTTCGGCTACATGGTCATCATCTCCTACAGCTTCTTCATTCTCACAGGAACCATTGGGTTCTATGCATGCTACTGGTTCGTCCGCCTGATCTATGCATCGGTCAAGATTGATTGAGTGCGACTCGGTTGATGGGATGGGATGAGTTCTGCAATGGGCGTTAAGGAGCATTTTGACTTCTATTGATGACAAGATGTTGGGCGTTGTGTTTGTACCTGTAGCTACTCAGCCCTAGGTGATGCAATGTTCAATTTAGCCATTTCCCTGATTTTTATTTTGTTACTGTAGATGGTTAGAGATATTGTTGTAGGTTGCTTCTGGATCTTGTGAGAGCATCATACTAAACTCCATACGGTAAGATGCACTTGCAGACGAGGAACATTTGTGTGCAGATGCATAGCTCCAGAGAACCAGTGCTGATCAGCTTGAAACACAAGAAATACAAGCTATCACTAAGCCTAGCTCACTGCTACTGTTCATCTAAGCACAAGCCACAGGGTCACTAGTTACTATCAAGCCTTGCCTTACAACTACCTGCCCCTTGAAGACCAGCTCGAAGCTGGTCCGATAAGACCATGTTAAGAAATGCCTAGAATCTAGTCAAGCACCAAACTGCGTTTGACTGCAATTGAAGTAACATGTTGGGCAACCATACACAGAGTGTGCCTTGCCAAAATCAGAACAGGTTGGAGAAAGAGGCCCAAACGGGGTGAACAGCCGGACTGTGCATGGTGGGTACGCCTTTGGCCTGCAAGAATCGCAGGGAAACTGTCAATTATGAGTAAACCTCAAAAATTTGCGAAAGAACAATGATCGCCACGCAGACAATTTCTTGCACTTACCGGTCTGGCCTGACAATCTGGATTGAAGGCGGAAGTCTCTTCTTTCCATTAGGGACGAAATAATACTTGAGCATTGGGAACCTCCTCTGCTGTTGCGCCAACAGAAGATGGTTGTTAGGCGGAGGGGGGCACTCGCCCTTCACTTCGCCGTATTGCTGCAGTGCCTGTGACCAGCAAGGGCGGGGAAGGGTGTGACGGGGGGCGGAAGGCGTGGGAACGGGTCGGGGGGATGGGGGTGGGGAGAGGGAGGGGTGGGAGAGGTGAAGTGGGCGCTTAAAAAACCAGTATTGCTAAGTCCGAACTTGAAACAACGAATCACTGAAAGTCACTAAAAGATGGCGCACACAACACAGCACAGAACCAGCACAGCGAAGAAAGCAGCCGCGTACCTGTCGCACGAGCGGGAAAATCTCCGGAAGCGCGCCAGTGATTCCGACCCACGACAGCGCTCGCACATCCTCCTCCGCGCACGGCCAGCTGGCGATCTCCACGCTCCTCCAACGCAACGACCCGCAGCGCGCAAGCGCCTTCAGTTTAGCGGCCTCCGAAATAAACTGAACGACTGCGCCGATGACGAAGAGGAATATTAGTCTCGCTAGAATTAGGCCACTCATGGTAGCGAGGAAAAAGAAGAAAAAATTAAGGGACTAAAACCTCTGAAGCTAGCGGTTAGGTAACAACGGCAGTTAAAGTGTACCTGCATCCCCGGAACAGGTGAACTCGATATGCTGTATCGGGTACGGACTCTGTAGGTGAGACAACTGCTGGTCCAGCCACCGTACCTTCTCGACCACGGGCACTCCTGCCTGCACGACCGACGCACGCAAAATGGAAGTCGTGGGTGAGTCTTGTAAGAGATAGCGTTGACTGGCGGAAGAACGAAATTCATGTGCAGAATCTCGCATGGAACACTTCGAAGAGTTGGAACTGACGCTCGCCGTGAGTCTCTCCGTGATCTGACAGCACGCGGCGTCGATCGACCTCGGAGTGGCAAAAGAGCGTGATCGGGTACAGAGCCTTCAGCGTTGTGGCGTGCCTCTTATTAAGCTTTTTGTGACGTACTCTTGACGAGATTTATCGCGTACCCCTATTCTGGACGTTTGCACGAGAATCTGTCGATCGGGCTGGTGATCGAGCGACATGTAGTAGGAGGGATCATCGAGATCGCACAGCTCAGGATTCGATTCGAAGTGCAATCTCTGAGGCGATCCGCCGTGAATCGCGGCGTCACGCGGGCCCGCTCCCATACCGCCGGAATTATTCAGCCTCGCGGCGTATGGCCGCTCCACGATATGCATCGCGTCGCTCGTGAAACCAGGTCCAGATCCGGCTTTATATCGGAGCAATACCGCTTGCCTCGCCTTTCCTCTTAAATCCTTTTTAACATAACCAGAAGCACAAGTAGCGGCTGCGACAGCAGAGGTTCAGCGCGGATAAACGGTTACACTAGAAATCGTCCTGAACGTTAGTGGAATTGGTGGAACAAATGGATGTGCTAAACCTAGAAAAAAGTTGGCACTAACCAAGTATCTATCGCTAGCACTTTGAAGCACTCACTTGGGGAATCAGCTGTCAATAATTGTGGCGTCAGCCACAAGAGAGTGGGGACAGGAATGGGGGGGAAGGGGGGTGGGTGATCATGAATGAGATGAGATCCGTGATCGCCAAACAGACGCGAGAGGCGAGGCGAGAGAGAAGAGTGATGGACACGAGGGAGTGGGCACACGCGAGAGCGAACGGGGTGGGGTCCCGCCCGCATGAGAGAGAGCAGGGAGGAGTCAAGTGCGGCAAGAGGAGAGGAGGGATCTAGGTGGGTGGGACAAGAGGAGAGGGAAGGGAAGGAGGCGTGTGGGTGGCGAAAGGAGGTGGTGGAGCCAGTAGGAAAGTGGGCGAAAATCGGCGAAGAAACCAGCTGGCTCCCCAAGAAATTGGTGGTGGTGGTGGATTGGTGGATCTCACGTCTGGCTTCCCAGTGTCTCGAAAACGTTACGTCTGACGGTGACGGTTTCGAGGGACGGAATGGCAAATGACGCGAGGGGTCGGATTTGACGACGAACGATACACAAGGCCGATCGGAAACCGGATGAGCGAAACGAGGTAGGGTAACGCGCGAAGAACGGGGACGAGGAGAATGAGAGGACACGACGACGAAGCGATGCGATGCATGGAGCGCGAGAGTGTGCGACGAAGACGGGGCATGACGAGGGGGACGGACCAGGGAGATACAGTACACCCTTGGCGGCCTGTGCTGAACTGGCGATATGCGATTTCGCGGGAGAACAATTTTGCGATGAGGTCAACTGCCAGATGCGCAGTGCTTGGGGCAGCACGCTTGACTGCGACATTTATGCAAGTGACAATCGAACTGTGTGGTTCATAGCAAGGTTTCCGTGGTTCTTGAAAGACGAAAACTCTCGAGGTGGTCACCACCGAATTTCCACCAGCCCCGTGGGCTGGCTCGATCAGAATTGCAAAATTGACGAGATTTCCAAACCGCGTGTGTGCCTGTGCGTCAGATTCACACTCCGAACGGGCTTACAAGGAGGCCATAACTTTGTTTCACATAAGCACAGAACTAGACAAATTTACATACAACATGGACACAAAACTTGATATAGAGGTACAGAATAGTTATAGCGAAATAGCCAACGTAATGCTTGGGGCGCAGCGTGAAACTACTCGCAACAGCGTAATTACTATATAGTTTTGCATCTACTCTGTTCTCGTAGAGTGTGCACACCAAATATTTCGTTATTGCCATGTTCTTGTGGATAAAGCATTATCCAAATTCATAAACATCTTGATGGTTCACTGAATTCAAAAACATCGAAATTCTTAACACCCCCCTTTTTGGTAAGGGTATAACAACCTCGCTATCCATGTAATGCTTATACCGTAACAACAATAGTTCAATGCATTCCGTCATATTTCAACCCTCATACATTCACTGAATCTACCCAGCCCGTCATATGAAGCCCTTGTATCGAAGCTACACGGCATGAGTGGCAATTTGGAGGGGGACGAGTGGCAGTGGTGGTGGCGGTGCTGGCTGGTAGCCGCGCGAGAGGGAAAACCAAGACGGAAGGAATCTCGAAAATCTGGAATCTAGAGACTTCCGTACCTCAGAGGTAGTTTCAAGAAAGTCAGAACTAGTTTCTTCGTCCGAGTCACCCTTGTCGCTCTGCTCTGCGCGGTTGTTGCTTCCTCAATACGCCCGCAGCTCTTCGCTCGAGCCGCGAACCGCTCTTTCGACGGCAATGGCGCCCGAGGTAAGCCATCATGCGGATCGTGCGCTCCTTCCTCCACGTGTCGCACTTCTCGCGGCAATGCTGGAGGTCGATGCGTTTGTCAAGATTGTGTTCCTTCGCAACGGTTCCACGAGAATTCTCAGAGCCTTACTTATTCCGCGCGTTATTGCGATAGGAAATGACGTTGCTGATAACCTTTTTTTTTTTTTTTTTGCAACGTGATTCCTCATCGAGAATAGCTGCGCGGCTCGTATCTCATTGCTACCCGTTCCAATCCGTCGCGCCGCGTAATCCGTCGCACCGCTATTCGCAGACGCGGTACATGGATTTGCGCACGACAGAAGCGGCGACCAGCACAGCCACGATCATTCCCTCACGTGCGACCTTCTCCGTTGTGTCGTACCTTGTCGCATTCCGCTCGTCGCAGCGTCTAATCAGCTTCAACTTCTCCTGCATTCCTCTTCCGTCGTCCCCCTCCATCCCCCGCCAGGCATGGTACATGGACGACAGCAACGACGACCAGCGTCTGCCTCACCGCCTCGACCCCAACCAGCCCTGCTCCCTCGAGACGCTCTCTGGTGCGTCTCCCTCCCTCTCTCGCTCCATCCCTCGCTCTCTGCCCGCCCTCGCTTTCTGAGGCGCCTAAAAAATCATCTCTAGTGCGCTTCTTTCCCTCGCTTGCTGCTGTCGCTTTCGCGCCCTGCGCGTATCCCTCGTTTCGCGTTCTTGCTTCGCCCGTCTCTGCTGTTCACATCCATCCGTAATCCCTCCCAACGCTTTCCCTTGCGCGGTCGCCTTTCCAGCGATATGGTGACTTTTGAGTCGACCCAAAAGTCGTCTCTGCTGTTTGCATCCATCCATCCGCAGTCCCTCCCAAAGCTTTCCTTTTTGCGGTCGCCCTTCCAGCGATATCCCTCCTCCCCCACCCCTCCCGCCTACTTGTCTCAACCTCAACCTCCCCCTACCTGGTTGTCTCATGCGGTTCTCCCGCGTCTCACGAGTCTCTCCCCCCTCCCCCGCGTCTCTCGAGTCTCTCCCCCCTCCCCCGGGTCTCTCGAGTCTCCTCCCCCTCCCCCGCGTCTCACGATTCTCTCTTTCCCGTGTTCCGCGCAGAGATGCGAATCCAGTTCCCTCCCTCCCACCGATTTTTGAGGCGCCTCAGGAATCCAGTTCCCTCCCTCCCACCGTCCCCCGCCGTTTATCCCAACCTTCCATCAAACTCCCGCGTGTCCCGCGTGTCCCGCATGTCCCGCGTGTCCCGCATGTCCCGCGTGTGCCGCGTGTGTTGCACGCAGAGCTGGGCATCCTGTACTGGAAGCTGGACGCGGACATCTGGGAGAGCGAACTCTCCCACCGTCCCAGCCGCCCCCCTCAAGCTTGTCTCACTCAAACTCCCCTGTGTCCCGGATGTCCCTTGTGTCGCGTGCAGAGTTGGGCATTCTTTACTGGAAGCTGGATGCGGATATCTGGGAGAGCAACTCCCTTTTGCCGCGCCTCTCAACCTCCCACATCCCCCGCCTCTTTCCTGAACTGTGTGTTGCGCGCAGAGTTGGGCATTCTTTACTGGAAGCTGGACGCGGACATCTGGGAGAGCGACCCCGAGCTGAAGCAGATCCGCAAGGACCGCAACTACTCGTACGAGGTGAGGTGTGGCGCGTGGGGTGTGAGCTGGGTTGTTTGGTGTGCGAGGTGCCCCAGAAGTCATTGCAAGCTCGAACAGAGGTCAAGCAGATCCGCAAGGACCGCAACTACTCGTACGAGGTGAGGTGTGGGGCTGGGGTGTGAGGTGGGGCGGCGTGGGTTTGGACCTTGGAGTCAGAGCTGGAGAGGATTGGCAAGGACTGCAATTGGGCAAGACGAGTAACGGGACATGACATAGGAAATTGAAGGCAGCTGTTGCTTCATGGTGTTGACGCCCTTGAACTCTCGCCTTTCCGTCGTCCCACGTGATAAAAGAGTTGTTTTGAGACGTCTCTAAAGAGCTCTATTATCGAAGGCAGCAGTTGCTGTTGACGCCCTTGAACTCTCGCCTTCTCGTCTTCCCTTCACCAGCTTTTTCCGTGCAGGTGGTCAAGAGGTTCGCATTCATGACACGCGGCCGTTCGTTGTAACCACAAACTTGCTGTAACCATTCCCCACCCAGGTCCTCTGTTTCCCCATCACCCCGGTGACCATGGTGGTCTGCACACAGGATGTGATGTGGTGAACATCCATCCTGACACTCTGCCATCTGCCATTCGCCTGCGACCACACGTGCTGTTATCACCCGTTCCCTTCTCTCCCCCCCCTCCTCTCCTTTTCCTCTCTTCCCCCCTAGATTGCCACGAGGTGGTGAACCGCCATTAGCCTCACCGCACCTCCTGCCCTCCCCCCTCCTCACCCTTGTTTGTACAGGAGGTGGTGAACATCCACCCGGACACGCTGCCAAACTACGAGCAGAAGCTCAAGTCCTTTTACGAGGAGCACATCCACACGGACGAGGAGATCCGCTACATCCTTGACGGCAGTGGTGAGTGAATCAAGAGATGGTGAGCGCCCAACTACCCCAGACCCTTGATTTGAAGCTCAAGTCCTTTTACGAGGAGCACATTCACACGGACGAGGAGATCCGCTACATCCTCGATGGTAGTGGTGAGTGCACTGACTCTCATCGGCAGCTGTGAGTGAAGTGAAGGGGTGGTGGGCATGCAACTACGAGCTGAGAGCAGCACATCCACACGAATGAGGAGATCCGCTACATCCTTGATGGCAGTGGTGAGTGAATGAAGGGATGGTGAGCGTCCAACTACGCTTGACTTAAAGCTCAAGTAGTTCTACGAGGAGCACATTCACGCGGACGAGGAGATTCTCTACATCCTTGACGGCAGCGGTGAGTGCACTGACTCTCAACGGCAGCGCTACGAGCAAACGCTCAAGTCGTTCCACGAGAAGATCTGATACATCCTCGGTGGCATGGCAGCGGTGAGTGCTGCCTGGGTTGGCAGCGGTGAGTGCGCTGCTTCAATCTCAGCTGTTTTAGGTGGCAGTGGTAAGTGCTGTATTGGACGGCAGTGGTGCTTCAGTTTTTTTCACCCTGTCTCATGTTTCCTTGGCCCTCCCATCTCCCATCTCCACCCCCAGGCTACTTTGACGTGAGGGACTTTGAGGACCGTTGGATCCGCATCCACACGAAGAAGGGCGACCTCATTGTGCTGCCAGCTGGCATCTACCACCGCTTCACCCTCGACTCCACCAACTACGTCAAGGTGCGCACACGGGGAAGCAGAGGGTTGCAGTGTGTTGCTTTTGAGACGTCTAGAAAAAAAAGCATCTACCACCGCTTCACCCTCGACCCCACCAACTATGTCAAGGTGCGCAGCGCATGCAGTGAAGCAGAGAGAATTGCAGCGTGCAATATTCTTATGCTGCTCGGTTCGCTGCTTTTTAACAAGGGCACTCTAGTCATGTGCCTTGCACGAAACATGATAGGCGGAGTTTTCATTGTGTTTGTGATCTGTGATTCACCGTCTCTTTTTCAGGCACTCCGTCTCTTTGTGGGCGAGCCTGTGTGGACTCCTTACAACCGTCCGGCTGATGAAATGGATGCCAGGTATGTGCCCTGACAAGTGCCATGCAGGTCTTCAGCCGTATTTCACCCTCACATCAAATGTGTATCTTATTTTGCAGGAAGGAGTATCTTGAGAAGTTTGCGAGGAGGACGGCAACTGCTGTTGCGTAGTCCTGTGACAGTATCATACGTATTATTGTTGTGAATAGTTTACAACATGGTTGCCTCAGATTTGTCTGAGATCGTTTCATATTTCAGAGTAGTCATTTGCATTGGGAGAAATTTTAGATTAGTGATAAGCAAATGAGGGTAGCACAATACCTTCCTGGTAAATTAGGGAGACTGTACATCATTGATCGGTAAATTACGTCATGACTCTATGGTACCCTCTCCCTTCCATATCCGTAGTACGCATTTCTGGCTTTAAAGCTCGCAATGTACGTTGGCTGTTTTTTTTTTCCCCAAAAGATAGCCGTGCCTGAGAGCATTAGGATCTCACAGGCTAATGGTGGTCATGATCTTGTTTGAATATAATCATTTTTTTTTTAGTTTGAATCTTATGAACACTGCTTTACATCCAGGGCAAAACAGGACACAACCTCACGCCCATTTAAAAGGGAGCGGGGAAGACACCGGGGACGGCGGCAATCGACTGCAACGGTAAACGAGAAAACAGAAACGGATGTCAGGCGATTGGAAAAGGAATGTTTGGTCGAATTACGGGAAAAATGCGAGAAGCTCCTGATCTGTGAAGGAACAATTAATTACCTCGACGACGTTGTTGTGGAAGGGGTCGGCAAGGTGGTCCAGCAGGTTCTCAATGGGGCTCTTGTCGGTGTACGCGCACTGGACCCAGAAGCCGAGGTTAGCAAGCATGGCCAATCGGCCGTTCTTGATCTCCCGCAGACGCACGTCCTTGACCTTGGCGGGCTCGCCGAAGCCCATGCCGAGGGGATCGAAGCCGGGGTAGCCAACATCGGTACCCTTGACGGCATTGCCCTTGAAGATGGGGTCCTCGCTGCAAATTGAAAAGAAATTCATGTGAGATACGGTTGCAAACCAAGGTTAAGTAATGGAGCAGGAACAAACGGAAAATAAAACTCACTTCACGGAGCCGGGGTTGTTGATGTCAGCCCATCTCCTGCCCTCAACCCAGCCGACGAGGATGATCTCAATGGCCCACAGGGTGGGGGTGTCGAGCCAGTACTCGGCGACGTTAGCGGCGTCCCAGCGGGGGATGTCGAGGATGCCGGCAACGCGGAGAGCGTCGGGGATCATCACACCGGCGGCGCCAAGCATGGCCCAGCGGCAGTGGAACACCTCAGCCTGGACGTACCAGTCCAGGTTGGTGGAGGCAAGGCCAAGGGGATCGAAGCCAAAGTCAGCGGGGAGGGTGCCATCAAGGTAGGCGGGAGGGGTGCTGCCGGGGAAGTACAGCGGCCTCTCCTCAGCCCTGACGGAGAAGGAAGCCTTCACGGGAGCGGCGGCGACCTTGACGGAGCGAACCTGACGGCCGGAGAAGGCCGACTTGCTCACGACGGAGCTGGCAACAGCCGCAACGGTGTGGGAGGCGGTGACGGCAGCCATGGCTTCTGATGCAGTGTACAGCAGGGGAAGCTGGGGTACACTGAAAGTTGGGTTGGGTTCGTCAACGACTCCAAGATTGGGTGGAGCGAGCAGGGATAGTAATTCAGGTGGAGGGGGGTGGGGGAGGGGGACCGGGAGCAGCAGAGGGAAGCAGGGAGCAGAGAGGATCAGGGAGGGCGTGGCGCGTCGCGGCGAAATGTCACACGGGGGCAGCCCAGAAGATCCATCGCTAGCCTCTGCGTCGAATGGGAGAAATCGGCGAGCAGATAATGTGCCAGCTCGACCAATGCGAGGGCTCGCTTGGGTTCGCTTCGGCAATCCCCAACCAGGAAAGTTATGGGGTTGAGTTGACAGATATGGGGGGCTTGTGAGGCAAAACGATTGTCCCTCAAATGAGCGGCTGATTCGGCAAATTAACAGCATATATAGTCAAGGTACACTTCTGTCATATTTTGTATATAGAAATTCAAATTCTCGTACTCCTGCAACCAGGGACACGTGAGGGAGGAAAAAAAAAATCGAAATATGATCATTACTAACTCTAGGGGGCTGGCTTGCGTCCACGAAAAAGTTTGACCTCACTGGATAATAAACCATGAATGAACTGATGGTCTTAAAACAAAATCATCCTGTTGAGCCATGTTATTTTTAACAAACGTAAGTCATATTCTTCAATATGGAAAACACTTTGCGAGATGATTTGATTAGTGTCCACGGAAAGAATTGCATTATAACGAGTTGCACCATTGCCTCCTATCAGCGCCTCCTGCTAATCAGCAGCTCCAGCCCAACAGAGGCTGCTGCTGGTCCGCTTTGAAGCGGCTGCTTACGCGACTCCTCGTGTCTCTTTTCAAAGTTTTAATGCCCTATTGTTCGTAATTTTTTCCATTGGCCTGCCGTCCGTAGTGCATTGTTCGGGCTGCCTCGCTTTGGCCTCTCGCCCTTTCACCTCACCCCCTGACTCCTCTGACGGACGCAAACTAGTACCTCCGGCCGCATTCTCCTCCTGGTACGCCCTTCAGGCGGTTACACCGCCACTTCGCTTAGGCGAAACTCCCAACCATGACGTCGCAGTCGCAGGCCGTCGCACGGGGTCGCACAGCGTCGCCAGCCGTCGCAGGGCGGCGCGCGGCAGAGGTGTACGACGCGGTGGTGGTGGGCGCGGGCTTGGCGGGGCTGCAGGCGGCGCAGCAGCTGTTGGTGCGGGACAGGCAGTGGGCGGAGTGGGCGCGCAGAGGCGCAGCGGGCGCGGGAGGCGCGGAGGGCGCGGGGGATGGGCGCAGCCGGGCGCGGAAAGCGGAGCTGCGAGTGGTGGTGGTTGAGGCGCACGGCATGGTCGGGGGGAGAGTGCGCGGACTGGAAGGACTGGTGCCTTGGACTGTGGAGGTAAGGGGAGGGAAGGGGGAAAAGGGGAGGGTGGGGGAAGGGTTGGGGAGGGAGAAGGAGAAGGCGCACGGGATGGTTGAGGGGAGATTGCGGGAATTGGACGGACTAGTTCCGTGGACTGTGGAGGTGAGGGGAAATGGGGAAATGGGAGATGGGGTGCCAGGAGGGGAATAGCTGAAGGATTTTGGGCAGGGGAAAGGGAGAAGTGGATAAAGAGAGGGATACAGGAGAAGTGGTTCTAGGTTCGGAGTGCAGGGTTGAGGGTTGAAGGAGAGGTGTGAAGTGGAGGTCTTTGGTTTGGCGGCTTGAGTTGAGGGATGATGTGGTGGAAAGGGTTAAGTGGTGGCAAGCGTGGGTGACTGTTGGTCAAAGGTGATGGTAGCTTTTCAGAGTTTTCAAAGGTGACTCAAATGCAGCAGCACCAGCATGTATTGGCTCAACTCAATCACTTGTGTTGATGCGCCTGGTTGCTTGCTCAGCTCTTCCCGTGCTCGGTACATTGCGGTTGTGTGCGGTGCAGATGGGTCCGGAGTTCATTCACGGGGATCGCAACTGCTCCATCAAGGCAGCAGTGGACCAGCTCGGCTGTCCGCAGACCACCCTCGCCTTCCATATCCGCGCACCCTCCTAGTGCCCTCTTACTCTCTTAATGCCCTCTTGGTGCCCTCTCTGTTTTTTATTTGAGTCGACTCGAAAGGCAGCAGTGGATCAGCTCGGCTGTCAGCAGACCACCCTCGCCTTCCATATCCGCCCGCCCCCCCCTTAGCACCCTCTTGTTACCCAAGCCTTTCCTCCCTTATGTTGCTCATGCTCGTGCCCTCTGTTTTTGGCCTTAGAGTCGACTCAAAGGCGGCAGTGGATCAGCTGGGCTGTCAGCACACCACCCTCGCCTTCCATATCCGCCCGCCCTCCTAGTGCCCCCTTAATGCCCCCTTAATGCCCCCTTAATGCCCCCTTATTGCCCCCTTAATGCCCCCTTAATACCCCTTAATGCCCCCTTAATGCCCCCTTAATGCCCCCTTAGTGCCCCCTTAGTGCCCTCTTAGTTACTCACACCCTGGTTCCCCTCTTCATGCTCAGATTCCTGGCTTCTTGCTCAGATTCCTGGCTTCTTGCTCAGACCTTTGCCCGCACTCGCAGCTCAGGCTCTTGCATCCTCGCTCTTTTTTCTCTGGTGGGCAAGCCCTCCATAATGCCCCATGCTCCCTCTCCGCCTCCACATGTCATATTCACTTGCCATGAGTCTGACCACCAGTGCATGGCATTTGAGTCGACTCAAAAGTCACCTTCTCCCCCTCCACATGTCATATTTCATATTCTCTCTGTCACTTGCCATGATTCTGACCACCAGTGCATGGCATGGCGCGGCGTTCATCATTGTTGCACCTTGCAAGTACCGTTCACGTGGCCCTCCTTAACTTCCTCTCACCCTTGCCTCCCTCCCACCATCTCCTTCTCCATTTCTTGAACATGCCTTCTCTCCTCTTTTTTCTCGCACCCTCCTTTTCTCCTCTCATTTCCACTTCCTCACCGTCTCTTCTCACCCCTCCTATCCCATCCCTCACTTCTCTCCTCCTCTCTTCCCTCCTCCTCCTCCTCCTCCTCCTCCTCCTCCCCTCTTCCCTCCTCCTCCTCCTCCTCCTCCTCTTCCTGCACTTCCCTTACTTCCCTGCTTCCGTCAATGCTATTTCGCCCCCATTCCCCCAACCACCGGACCACTACTATTTCGGCAAGGAGCAGCGCCTGGTTCCCCCAGACGAGGCCGAGAGCGACCCGGACGTGGCAGCCGTGCACGCCTTCTTTGAGGGGCTTGCTGCACACGGGCAGGGCGGGGGGGAGAGAGGGGAGGGGAAGGAGGGGGAGGGTGGTGGAGGCGAGGGCGACTGCTCGGTGGTGGAGATGATGCGGAGGAAGGGCGCCTCGCCATGCCAGCTGGCTCTCGCAGAATGTGGGTACTGGTGTGCTGCTGCTAGTATTGGAACGGGGCGAGGGCAAGGGCGACTGCTCCGTGGTGGGCATGATGCGGCGCAAGGGCGCTTCGCCACGCCAGCTGGCTCTCGCAGAATGTGGGTGGTGGTGTGCTGCTGGTGGGGATGGATGTTGCTGCTTGTTGTTGCCTGCTGCCTGCTGCCTGCTGCTGCTGGTGGTGGTGGGTACTGGTGTGCTGCTGCTGGTGGTGGTGGTGGTGGTGGTGCTGC